AGTTTTGGGGGGGACATAGCTTCTTCTAAAGGTATGGTTAGCACAAATGAGTGATCTGGAAAAATATCTTTATTTCCTGTCATAATGTCATCTAATAGTACAGAGGGACTTCTTAGACTTTGATTATTGTTGGTGTCGTTCTGATGTTTCTATTTCATGTTTATTATTGAGTATTGTCAGCTAACTGAAACATCTAATATCTTTAAAGTACCAAAGAAGGTTCCTGAGGAAAAAGTACCTGTTCCTGTTCAGAAAAAAGAAGCACCTCCAGCCAAAGGTATATCTTCTCTTTTAAACCTGATCTTCTTTTTCATCTTTTTTCATTAAGACTTGGTTTATGTCTCTGTGTCTTGATTGTTTTTGATGTCTTTGTCTATGAAAGCTTGCTCTTAATAGTCCTAAATGTTAAAACCATATCTTTAAAGTGCCCGAAGTACAAAAGAAAGTTCCAGAAAAGAAAATCCCAGAAAAGAAAGTCCTTGTGCCTAAAAAAGAAGCTGTTCCCCCAGCTAAAGGTATTTTGGGGGAAATCTTTGATTTTCACATACTGTTGCATGAAAACCATTTTTCATGTTGTTTTTATTTTATATTTTGAATTTACATCTTCATTTCTTCTGTGTTTAAAAAAATATATAAATCTCTTAATAAAGATGCTCTTTCAGGGAGAACTGTCCTTGAAGAAAAAATATCAGTTGCCTTCCATAAGGAGGAAGTAGTAAGAGAAAGAACAGAACTAGAAGTAGTGGAAGCACACGTGGAAGAAGCTCTTGAAGAAGAAGAGTTCCATGAAGTTGAAGAATATTTTGAAGAAGAAGAGTTCCATGAAGTAGAAGAATTTATCAAAGTAGAAAAACAGAGATTTGAAGAAGTACACAAAGTTGAAGAAATTCATAGGGTGATAGAATTTTTAGAAGCTGAAGAAGTGGAAGTATATGAAAAACCCAAAGCTCCACCCAAAGGTAGAGGGGAATTCTGTAGATATTGCAAGTTATCATATCTTTTTCTAACTAACTTTGTGTTTTAAGCACCTTTCGTGTTCAGTTTGGAGCACTAGAAATCCACTTATTTTCCTAGTTAAAATCATTACACACTTTACCCTTGTATCAAATACTTACACTATTTGATACAAAGATTGATATAGAGATTAACCACAATATAATTTTAGCAAACAAGATAACATTTGAAATCTACTTAGCTAAGGAGGTCACTACATGAATTTCTGGATTCTTTTTAAAATCCAACTAAGAATGTTACATGGCTGTTACAGAAATCAAAATAATAGACCAGTGTCATTGCTGAGTGAAAAAGACGCTCCTCAGTTCACTGGGGAACTTACATGTTCAGGCCAAACAACCATTGCATTGTTAACATTCCAGTCAATTGTTCATAAGCTGATAAATTCCTTTCAAAAGCTTCCACCATTTGTCATTAGGAAAATAACATTAGGAGGTAAATGGATGTTAGTAACAGCACCTGAATTCTAGTATATTCTGAAGATAACCCATAATACAAATAATTCTTTGCAATAGCACTCCAGATGTTGCACAAATTAATAATATGTGTGTGATACGAAGGAATGTGTGTGTGTGTATGTGTGCTTAGTATACACAGTTAATAAACAATATAGGTGAAATTTAACAAAACCAAGTCTTTTTTTGAAGTAGGTGTGGTATAAATTTAAAAATACAAATAAAGCATTTTATCAGCCCTCGTTGTACTAACTTTAATAGTAACGTTTCATAATACTTGAAGAGTTCATTCTAAAGCAAAACACTAATATCTTTGAAGGGCCTGAGATATCCGAGAAAGTCATCCCTCCAAAAAAACCACCCACTAGAGTTGTTCCTCGAAAAGAGCCACCAGCTAAAGGTATTTCATTGGCAAAAAATTACTTACCTAATTGTATGTACCGTAGCACGGTGGTTGTTTTACAAGTGTGCATTCTACTTGATGTTTTTCTTCCGTGTTTTGTGTTTTGGTAATTTTTAAAGCAAACTAATATCTTTGGAGTGGCTGAGGGTCCAAAGGAGAGTCAACCAAAAGAGAAAGTCACTGTTGTTATACCTAAAATACCCAGAGCAAATGTCTCTTAACCAAATAGTGAACTCACATTTCCTTCTTTGGTACTATTTCATCATATATTCACTAATGTGCTTATAGAAAAATCCATGTTTTCCTATTATTAATTTTAATAACCTAGTAAATGTAACTACATAGTAACTATATTTTTAATATTCCTGCTTTGTTCATTTTTATAAACCTCTTGAATTTCACAATAGAAATGGAAAAAATCTAATACATAACATATACTTACATCTTTCAAATCTGTGAAGCATTTAAGAACGTCATCACTGGAAAAAAAAGTACCAATTATTCCACCAAGACAAGTAGCAACAGCACCAACTGACACTGTCTTGTTACTTTTTCTTGTTAAACTCTAACATGAAAAATTCCCCTGGATTTGTTGTGTTTCTTATTGAAATTCAACTCTCATCAAATACTGTAATGTATTTGATAAAGTGATATCTGTACTTGATATGGTTATGTTCTCTGTTGATTGACATTTCTCTTATGTTCTGTTTGTTGAAAATCTTTATGAATTTTTAAAAGTAAAAAATGTTACTACTATCTTTAAAGTACCTGAAGCACCCAAGAAAATTGTGGTAGAAGAAAAAGTACATGTTCCTGAAGAGCCCAAATTTCCACCAGCTAAAGGTACTGCCTTTGCTGATTTCCCTCTAATGTAAAACCCTCTTTTATTTACTTACTATGGAGAAGAGAGAGATCATTCTCCCCTTCATACCACAATATAACTGATTGATGTACACTTCAATTTATGTTCTATAACATAATCTTCCTGTATGCCTATAAGTTTATTGTTGGGGCTCATCCTCTTCTTAAGAAATAATTAAACAATATGACCACTCAACTTCTTTTTCAAAAATAATTTATTTTGGAAGCTATTGTCAAATAGCTCTGAAAACAAATGAACATGTTCCAAATTACAATAGACAATGATGCTATCCCCAAAGGGCAGAGTGTTTCTAAACTGACAAATCAAGAACTCAGTCACAAGGCGATCTAGAGAGATACATTGACTGTGTTTCGTTGACTTATTTTGGAATTTTTGACATTCTTCTTGTTAGATGCCCCTTGTCTTGATATTTTATATTCAATTATGAAATTCTTAAAAATAAAACAATCAAATATCTTTAAAGCACCTGAAGTACCCAAGAAAATTGTTCCAGAAGAAAAGGTTCATGAAGCTGTTCCTAAGAAGCCTGAAGTTCCACCAGTTAAAGGTACACACTGATGCTAATCACAACATGAAGGAACTCTTTATTTAGTTATTCATGGTTTAAAGTGAATGTGTGTGAGGTTAAATCTGTGTAGTTTGTTACTTTATATTCTTAATATCTTACATTGTCATACATAACAATTAATATACTAATATCTTTAAAGTTCCTGAGGTGCCTAAGAAAAGTATTCAAGAAGAAACATCAACTATAGTTCTTTCTGAAGAAACGACGTTATACAGTGAGTGTAGAAAACTTGGTGGTTCCCTTTGGTTTCATTTGTGTTTGTCTTCATAGCTTTTAAAAGTAAATACACTAATATCTTGTAAAAGCCTTAACTCACCAAAAATATCTAGCTAAGAGTAAATAATTTGAATACTATTAGCTTCAAAATTATTTCTTCAACAATTTAAAAAATAATCTTGACCTTATAACATTGCTGGAGTTTAGAAAAGTCGTTTCTCTTGTTCAATTTGTTGTCCTGTCTTATTAATCTGTCATGTGTACAAATGTCTTTTGCTTTGAAGCAATTTATTTTCTCAGACTATGAAATAACTAACTTCATAATAATATTTTAATTGAATTTTATAGAATCAAAATGCTCAACCATTATTGTTTTTTATTCTTCAACACAATCTCTGGAAACATTTTGGCAATGCTGCAAATGACCATAGATTTACATAGCAATTAGAACCTCAAAAGAATTCTGAAGCCATTTTTTAAATTGGCTCTCGTGTAAATTTTGAATTAAATAATTTGAGAAGTAAAATTAAATAATAAATATCATTTTTATTATTTGCATAATAAAATATTCTGAATAGAATACTTTCAGTAACCTAAGTAGTGAAAATGCCAGTAGTCTAGATATTCTTACATTTATTTTCATCTAAAAAATTCCCTGTTTAAAGCCAATTTTTGTCACTATAATTCTAGGCTGGGATAAAAATATATGCTGACTCCCTCCTTTTTTTGTTTTGTTTTGGCCCAAAACAGCTAGGGCCTGACTCCTTCCTTTGAATACCCTTTCTATACTTGAGTTTGGTTATTGTCATCATCCAGGCTTCCTTTCTAAAAGCTGGAGGAATCTTTTTCTTTCATTTGCCTTATTTTCCAAATATTTACTTATTTTTATTTTCTGATTTCAGTCCCTAAATGATTTTAACATTTATATAAAACAATAAAGCAAAAAATTAGATGTGGTTTTAAAATATAGATAACTAGGTTTTGGAAAAGAAAAAGGCTTATCTGAATTTCCAGTAGGTCAAATATCAAAGAATTCTTGATGTACAACTCAACATTGATCCTGTTCTTTTTTTTTTTGTTCTTTTTTTAAAAATATATTTTATTGATTTCTTACAGAGAGGAAGGGAGAGAGATAGAGAGTCAGAAACATCGATGAGAGAGAAACATCGATCAGCCGCCTCCTGCACATCCCCCACCGGGGATGTGCCCTCAACCCAGGTACATGCCCTTGACCGGAATCGAACCTGGGACCCTTCAGTCCGCAGGCCGACGCTCTATCCACTGAGCCAAACCGGTTTCGGCAACCCTGTTCTTTTTTAACAAACCCATAAAAAATAAGAGCAATAGGAAAATTTGTCCAGTAAATGTCTGCAGAAAAAGTAGAATAATTATATAGTCCCTTTCCAGTGAATTCCTCAATTTTATCATCATGTTAATAAAGAAATGCTGAGCCTTATATCATAAAACTGGGAAGGAGACTTTTTCCTAGCCAAAGTGGTATTGTCACTAATATTTGTCTATGTACAACTGGTAATTTGAGTGATGACTATGTATTATGTTTTTATTAATACTGTTCTTCATCCACTTTGAAATGAAGCTAATTGTATACATACTAATATCTTTAAAGTGTATGAAGTATCTGAAGAATCAACCACAGAAGAAAAAGTATTTATGACTCATCCTCAAAAGACAAAACCCAAACTAGCAAAAGGTATATAACATTGATGACACAGTCTGAGGAACATTTATTTGTGGCTCTTTTTAAAAGCTCAATATGTACTTCACCATTTATGACTATACTTATATCTTTTAAGTGCCTGAAACACCCAAGAAAGTTGTTCCAGAGGATAAAATATATGTGACTATTCCTAAAAAGAGAGAAACACCAGCAACTAAAGGTATATTTAAATATCAAACTTCGATGACTATCTTTGACTTCAAGACACAAAAGTTGCATGCATATAATTCACTGCTTTTATGAGTTCTTAGTATAAATCTACTAATATCTTTAAAAAACTTGATACAACCAGAAAAGTTTTTCCAGAGGTAGAGTTTCCTGAAGCTATTCCCAACATTTCAGAGCATCCTTCTACTGAAGGCATAATTCTTAGTTATGAAAATCTAAATAGGAAAATTCTTCTTTGGTCTACAAAATAAGTTTAATGTTGTGTGTAGATTCTCACAACCTCTAATGCTAAAATACTAATATCTTTAGAGCACCTAATGTACCCAAGAAAAGGAACTATGACATGCCCCACCGAAAAAGTCCCACTTATACATACAATGTACAGAGAAAACCTGTTAGAACAAAAATTAAAATCTGAATTTAAAGTTAGAATCTCTAACTTTAAATATACCTAACTTCCTTAGTATGCCATGTCTTCATGTCTTTGCCTTTATTCAACTAAAACCTACTAATATCTTTAAAGAGATGGAAGTCTCCGAGGAAGGTACTCCAGAGGGGCCAGCTTCTGCTGCTAGAAGAAGAAAGATAACATCACCAAAAGGTACAAGCCAGAAGAAAGTCGACTTTCTTATCTCATGATTATAGTTGTACTTAACACATGTAAAAATACTAATATCTTGAAAGCCCCAGATGCTACCAAGAAAGTCATTTCAGAGAAGTAGCTCCCCCAAAGCAGGAGTTTGATTGGGTATATACATATCCCCATGAGTGGTTTAAGAGATAACAGAGGGGAAAATTTTTTTTTACTTATATATACGGGTGATGGTTGGGCTACAAAGTTCATCTATGAGGCCTCCAGGGAAAAATATGTATGCATACAATGTGCAGGTGTAAGCCAGATAGATTCTTCAATAGAAAATAATGTTACTGTGCCCATAAAAAATTAAAATCAGAATAGCTAGAAAAAAAATGATAGGAGACTACTTATAATATTTTATATCCCCCAGATTAGATTGAATTGGCTCAATACACTCTCTATAATGTAGAAATTAGTGTCATCAAATACTACAGAGGTGTTTGGTTATAGATTATAAGTCTATAATTCAACTCTCCATAGGGTTGAAATCCCAGAATATAACTGCCTATTGTAATTATTTTTCTATTAAAATAAGTTTACTACCAAAAATAAGCATATATATTAGAAATAACTTATTTCCCACAAGACTTAAATATTATAGAAATATTTTCAGAAAACCATTACTTAAAGAAAAAATATCAAATTTAATATGAAGCTGTTCTATGTCATCTCTAGCTGAGAGTCTTCTATAACCAAAGCAGTTAAAACAAAACCAGTTAAAGTTGGAATTCTGCCCTGAATACTTAGCCCCTCTCATTGTCTTTTATTTTTTAAAGAGCCCTACGTTTTTCCATTTTGAATATTTTTAGGTAAATTAAAAGTTGAGAAGTTTTTTAACATCCAGAATAATAACTTCTGTAATTTAAAAACTAAACATTTTGACATTGTTTTCTCAGTCTAGAATCTCTGGGTTGTCCTCTCTGCTATACCTGAAAAACAAGCACTTTTCTAAAGTGCTTCAAGTGAGGGCACAAAATGAAGCCAAACCAGATAAGAAAGGAGCTGTTTTGCTCTCCTCAAATTAATAACTAAAGAAAAGTACGTTGTTAATTATTTTTTAAAAACAAAACTTTTCTCTTGAAGCTAATTTTCTATGATCTAATTTTCTATGCATCTACCATTTCAAGAAATAAAATTAGTAATTTTTAATATATCTTTATTGATTTCAGAGAGTAAGAGAGAGGGAGAGAGAGAAACATCAATAATCAGAGACAATCATTGGTCAGCTGCCTCCCGCACACCCCCACATTGGGGATTGAGTCCGCAACCCACCATGTGCCCTGACCAGGAATCGAGCTGTGTCCTCCTGGTTCATAGGCCAACACTCAACCAACCACTGAGCCACACCAGCTGAGCAAAATTACTAATGTTGATAGTGCCTGAGGTGACCAAGAAAACAGCTCCTGATAATCAAATATTCATACTATTACTAAAAAATCAGATTTGAGGAGCAGGGAGGTCTCCCAGTCTGAGGTATTCCTGTAGGTGGAGTTATGATTAAAATCCTTCATTGCTCTTCATCACTCTGAAGTACAATGAATTAATATCTTTAAAGTGCCTGAATCACCTCAAGAAGTTGTCCCTGTCAAGGAAACACCCATGACTGAAATTGAAATTAAAACACCTTCTACTAAAGGTATCATGCATTCTATCATTCCTTCCTTCATTTATTCAATGAATGCCTATTATGTACATGGTGCTAGTGAGTTGGGGAGTAATAAGCAAAGACAAATAAGACTGGATTCCTTTCCTTAATGCATTAAACCTCATTCAGTTCTTGAAAGAAGTGCCCTTGTAGCCATAAAAATAGCTTTTATTCCGTTAATATGACTCATGTCTCCACTGATCCTTAATCTCTAAGTGTGATACTAATATCTTTAAAGCGCCAGAAGCTATGAAAGAAGTTGCTCCTGATATGCAATTATCTGAGGATGTTCCTGAAGAGCCAGAACCTCTGCCTGTGGAAGGTATATATCATGTCTACACAGATACTGAAGAAGAGATGACCTGCTCTCTGCTCTTAAAATTATGTTTTCTAATGTTCTCCATAACCCCTAAACATACTAATCTCTTTCAAGCAGCCTCTCAAAAGAAAATATGTGTGGCCATATTTATCAAAACAGAAAACCCTCCCATTAAACGTATTCATTCAACAAATACTTAGTAAGGAAGGTCTGCGGTGACAGAAATTCCGCTGGGTGCTAGAGAAGGGTGAATCCTCTTCTCAAGGGCCCTACCACCCCATTAGACTTAGTTGGTTCATGGGGCGAGCAGAGAATGGAGAGGGAGAGAAGGGACTTCCAGAAAACTGTATTTGCTAACTCATTGCGGTTACTGCTTTTAGTAATCACTTTAACTCTTAAACGTGAAATACTAATATCTTTAAAGTGACTGAAGCGCCTCAAGAAGTGGTTCCCGTGAAGAGAGTTCCTTCCAAGAAAAGGGAGCCTCCATCAGTTAAAGGTACAAGTTACCATGCCTTCAAGCTGTAGAAGGAATACCTCTTGTAGTCTTGACAATACTTGCTTGTACCTCCTGATCTTCATAACACTAAATGTTACACTACTAATTTCTTCAAGCGCCCGGAGCACCTCACGAAATTCTCCCTGAAAAGAAAGCATCTGTGGTTCCTCATAAAAAGCCTAAAGGCCCTTCTGATGAAGGTATATGTTGCTGGAAGCTTAGAGATTTGGAAAAATCTCTTTTCCTGTAGAAATGTGTTTCCTGTTTGTATTGGTTCCTGTAACACCTAAGTGTAAAAATATTAATATCTTTAAAGTGCCTGAGGCTCCCAAAGAAGTCCCAGAAAGGAAAGTGCATCCTCCCCCAAAGCCTGAAGTTGTACTTGTGGAAGGTACATCCCTGAACTCCCTTCACGATGGGGTAGGGAGGGCAATGGAAAGAACCACCTTGCTAGCCTGGGAAGTTCTGTTGATGTGTCAATGTGATTTCTGTCTGTGTTGATCCGTGTAACCCAAATGTAAATTTACTAATATCTTCAAAGTGCTTGAAGCGCCCAAAGAGGTTGTCCCTGAAAAGAAAGTGCCTTTGGTGCCTCCTAAAAAGCCAGAAATCCCACCTGTTACAGGTATTTCCCCTGGATTCGGGTTTAAGAATATGTTATCTGCTCCTAAAAACATTTTGTTCCGGTGACCTCATAACTCCTGACTGTAATGTTACTAATATCTTTTAAGTGCCTGAGGCTCCCAAAGAAGTTGTCCCTGAAAAGAAAACACAGGTGGTGCCTCCTAAAAAGCCAGACGTCCCTCCTCTTAAAGGTATTTGTCACTGATCTTAGGTTTGAACGAGGCATAACGCGTCTGCTCTTGCTAATATTTTCTCCCAGTTATGAGACCATAACTCCTGATTGCAATTTTACTAATATCTTTTAAGTGCCCGAGGCTCCCAAAGAAGTTGTCCCTGAAAAGAAAGTACCTTTGGTGCCTCCTAAAAAGCCAGAAGTTCCACCAGCCAAAGGTAGTCACCCTCTTGTCCCTGTGTTTGACACTGTCTGTTTGTCTTCACTCTGTCTAATCATCAACATACTAATATCTTTAAAGCACCTGAGGTGCCAAAGGCAGCTGTCCCAGAAAAGAAGGTGCCCGAAGTTATTCCTCCCAAACCGGAGAGTCCTCCCCCTGAAGGTAATGTCCAAACTATCTATATACCAGGAAGAAAAGTAACTATTTTAGCTAGAAAATTCTATATGCAAATACCACTGCGTGAAGGTGATATAATTCTAAAGAGAAACAAATCAGAAGTTTTCCAAAATGTCTGGGTTTAACGATTACACGGTATAGTCATTAATGGTTGTCACGTTTTCTAAACACAAATTACCAATGTCTTTTAAGTGCCGGAGGTGCCGCCACCGAAGGAAGCCATCCCTGAGAAGAAAGTGCCTGTGGCTCCTCCTAAGAAGCCGGAAGCTCCACCTGCTAAAGGTATTTATCCTTGTGTTGTTGGTCATGCTTTTCCGGGGGCGGGTCTGAGCGCGTGTGTGGAAGTGTCCTCCCGGCTCACAAATTGTATCGCTTGGGGTAAATATGTTGTCACTCTCGCCTAGTTATAGTCTCGAACTAAAACGTACTAATATCTTCAAAGTTCCTGAAGCTCCTAAAGAAGTTGTACCTGAAAAGAAAGTGCCTGTGGCTGTGCCCAAAAAACCAGAAGCCCCGCCTGCTATAGGTATTTCTTCCCACTGCTCTGTTAAGAGGGGAAGCTGTTGTCTTGTTCGCGTCACAATTATTACAGTATATGCCTTCACTATTCACAAATTCTAAAAATACTAATATCTTTCAAGTCCCTGAAGCTGCTCAAGAAGTCATCCCAGAAAAGATCATTCCCAAGGCACCATTCAAAAAGCCGGAAGCCCCGCCTGTCACAGGTATATGTTAGTCCTGACCTCATTTCGCAGAAGAAATCTCTCTTCCATTCTTGAGAATAGTTTTAGGCCATTGCTCTTCCTTAACTGAAGTGTAAAACGACTAATATCTTTCAAGTGCCTGAAGCTCCCCAAGAAGTCCCAGAAAAGAAAGTTCCCAAGGCACCACCCCAAAAACCAGAAGCTCCGCCTGTCACAGGTATGCGTTTGCCCCAACCTCATTCTGCCACAGAAGTGGCTCTTCTGCTGTTGAAAACAGTTTTAGGCCATTGCTCTTCATTAACTTCTGTGTAAAACTACTAATATCTTTCAAGTGCCTGAAGTTCCTCAAGAAGTCGTCCCAGAAAAGAAAACCCCCAGGGCACCACCCAAAAAACCAGAAGCCCCACCAGTTTCAGGTATTTTCCACCACATCCTTATTCTACAGAAAAAAATTAGACCTCTTTGCTCTTGGAAATAATTGTAGCCCATTGACCTCATTAACCTGAGTGTAAAACTACTAATATCTTTTAAGTGCCTGAAGTTCCTCAAGAACTTGTCCCTGAAGAGGAGGCACCAGCGGTGCCTGCGAACTTGCCAGAAA